TCGATGAATCCGGATCGAGGAACGGCCCATCGTTCCCCGTTTCCGGCTACTATGGTCCGCCCTGAGGAAATCCCGGCAGTGGTCCGATCTCTCGCCGGACATGCTCCTCGCCGTCTCCGCCCGTCTGCACGACCCCGCCGACTTCGTCCGCTTCCACGCCGTCTGCACGTCCTGGCGGGAACGACTGCACTCCGCAGCCACGCGCCCCAAGTTCGCGCCATGGCTCCTCTGGCCAAGCAACGACGGCCAGGTCATGCACTCCCCCGTGGTCTACTCCGGGCACGTCGAGGTCGAAGTCTCTTCCGAGAGCCACCCCTCCGATTACAACGACGACATCGTCTTGGCTGCCGCGGCTCCATCCGCGGGAGGCGGCGGCAGGAACTGGGTGGCCAGCGCAGATGGCACGGCCGTCTGGCTCTTCGCCGGCGGTCCTGAGCCAAAACTAATCAACCTGGTCACCGGCATCGCCACGCCCCTGCCTCCCTTCCCCGATGATATTGACAGCTATGTGATCAAGCGGATGAGGAATCCCCACGGCGTCGTCTATGGCGATGGCACCGTGTTTCTATACAGCTGTGAGAAGGGTTACGGGGCGATCTTCACGGCGGCCGTCCTACGTCCCGGCGAGGCGGCGTGGGCAGTCATGAAAAAGAGACTGAATAGGTTGGCAACCTTTTGGTGTGCTGCATATCACGACGACAAGGTCCTGGTGTGGCAGAACTTGTTCTGGTGTTGCATTGCATCTGGACTTCCAAGACAACACCGACCATTACACATCGGTCGGCGAGCTCAAGACACCATGTCGTGAAGCCGAGGACAGACGATACAGCGCCTTTTGCAGCTACGCCCTCGAGTCCTGCGGCGAGCTGTTGCAAGCATCCATCCTCGTCGAACGCGAATGGCGTCGTCATCACTACTTGGATGGCCCATCGCCGCCATTATCAGTGACGGTGCACGCGCTGGAAGAAGGAGCGGGCGACGAGAAGCGATGGGCGATGAGGGACGCCTATAGCTTGGGCGACCGCATCTTGTTCCTCGGTTCCAGGGCCAGCTTCGGCGTCGACGCTGCGCAGCTGGGCATCGAGGGCGGGTGCGCCTACTTCGTGTTTATGAGCCGTTTGTATAGGTGTAGCCTCGTCAATGGCGAGGCCAAGTGTGAAGCCGCTGCGCCATGGATGCTGCATGTGGCTCCAGCGAGGCCAAGTGTGAAGCCGCTGCGCCATGGATGCTGCATGTGGCTCCAGCTCCAACCTGCTATTGCTCCGGTCCAGAAAATTCGAGAAAAGCTCAAGGCTCTGTCCGAACAAGAGGATGACAAAAGTTAATTCAGTGAATGGTCGCATGTATTGATGAATTTCAGTGCCATTTGTCTAGTTCATTTTGAGGAAGAGTGTCTAAAAAGCAGTAGTATGAATCTATTGTTCACTTTCAAGTACTCCCTTCATTTTTTTGGTCCGCATATAAGATTTGTCTCAAGTCAAACATAGTAAAGTTTGACTGAGATTATAGGAAAAATATCAACATTCATCACAATATAAAATCGATATCATTAGATGCCCCCGCAAAAAAAAGATACTCCCTCTGTTTACTTTTATAAGACCTTAAAGACATTTCAGACAATGTATAAAACTACCACTTTGAGTTGTCTGAAATGACTTACAAAAATGAACAGAGGGAGTATAATTAGATGCATCACTTGAATTAACTTTCATATTGTATATCTCTAGTATTGTAGATGATAATTTTGTATATAATTATGGTCAAACTTTATGAAGTTTGACTTAAGACAAATCTTATATGCAAGTACAATAAAAAAGAAACGGAGAGAGTACTTAGTAGTCATTTCAGTTTCTTTACAGGTTAATGCCTCAATGGCCTTATTTAGTATGGCAATGGGCCTCCTATCTGCCCAGCTACGATCAGTTTCTTTACAGGATAGAGTTCTTGGTGACTGAAAAACTACAGACTGCACTGCATGTATGTACATGTTTGACAGATCTCAATAGTTGGTTTTTATAGGTTTAAACAGACGGGACGCACACAAATATACACAATTTGGATGCTAAGACGGTCAACTTTCAATCTTCACTAGCTTCTCTCAAGGCTTCATTTATCCGTATGTGCAGCTTATTAGTGCTTGTATGTCAAAAAATATTTGAATCAAGAGAGGGAAGTGATTTCGTACCGCACAATTAGTTGCCGTACAAAGTTTTAAATTAGTTAAGTCTGATATTTTCCTGAACCTCAGTCGCCCCAAATTGCACTATTATCCTGAAATTGTGCAACATATTTAGTGTTATGATAGTGTGTTATTATTGTTGCCCTCAGGTCTTCTATGAAGTTTGCATATTCTTTTCCAGCAGCCGATCTTCCCATTCAGACAATCCGTCTGCTTCCATCTTTGGCAACAGGTAAATCAGTTTGTTCTTTGCTTACTACTCCCTCCGTTCCAAATTACTCGTCGTAGAGATGGATGTATCTAGAACTAAAATACATCTAAGATACATCCATACATGTAACAAGTAATTCGAAACGGAGGGAGTACGTACTAAAGTACTACTACTAATCACCATATATATTCCCAGTACGGACTATAAATGTTTGCATACAAATTCGCTGTTCAATCAAGCCGTAGATACATATGGAAAATATGATGAACACTGCCATAAGCACACATATGTTCGTGCAGTATATCTAGTACTCTCATGGGTACACTGATATGTCTGACGGCCATATCATATATAGTAACACAACCAAGATGCATGGTGAGAACACCTACAAATGAGTCTTCACAAGTCCTGTACAAAGTCTCTCCAGTCCAACTCTCTAGAAGCACACTCCAAGCCTCATGCCGCTGACCTGAAAAGGAGGAGGCGATAAAATTTTGAATTTTCGCTGCTCCAAAATTATTTCCACTCATAGCAACCATACACAGATTGAAAAATGATTAGAACCATATAACCGAGAGACAGTTACATATGTGAAAATCATCCACCCAACTTTGGAGTGAGGTGGGGATTCTCTCTGAATAAATACTTGCTTCTGAGAGACATCTACATAAGCTTTCATATTACTGAACATAAAACTAAGGTTTTCACTCGAACTCCAACAAACTGACAGCAAGCAACTCAAAGAACAAGGAGGTATACAATACAAGAACAGAGAACAGGGGGAATCGAAAGAATAAGGAGGTATACAAGAACAGAGAACAGGGGGAATCGAAAATCTTGTATACATCAAATGGCTTGGGTGCATATATATATGACTAGAAGGAATGTGTGCTGAAAATAGTACAGCTTGAATCAGCTAATTAACATGCTGATCGAACTATGGCAAACAATAAAAGGAGAGAGAAAACATACTCACCAATTATAATACTATAACATAATCAACACAAACGCTGGCCACTAATGGGGGATATGGCATCCGATGTTGCAGTTGTAAAATTTGATTCTCCGCCGAAGACTAGGCACTGTCCGTCCACAGATGTTTACTGATAATGCCAAGGGGCAAATCAGCTGTTTGAGTTTCAGTGTATTCAAAGGCATGTTGCTGATATAGCTTATTAGGCATTTCATTACTCAATATTTGTTTAGCTAGGTGCAGTTATAGTAAATTTACCATCACCAGATCAACTTTGGGGAAAATAGCATAATACTGCTAGTAGGCGGTAGACTGTAGTACATGAATTAGCACAAGTGTAGAATTGCCTTTGTTGTACTTCAAACAGTAACAGTCAGTTTGCAAGCAGACATGACAGATGACCTTTTTAAGATCTTCAGACAAGCTGCATATATGGCCCATTAGGCATTTATGTCATGAGGATTTGTTAAGCCAGATGTATTTATACTATAATATAAAAACTAAAGAACTATGAATCTATGAGAAGATGTTAAGAAATGCAGTATGATTCCTTTTGGTCCATAGAAGTTTCAATGGGAAAAGAAATTTCAGTACAAAGGATATTATTTGGTCATTCAGAAATCTGTACCAAGGGAACATGAAGGTACTCATTATACGAGGAGATTTCACTCTGGTAAGGCGGTAACCAGATCACACTCACTCAGATCCTAATTTTCAGTCAAACCGGTCACAACCTTACCATCTACCAGCACCCAATTACAAGAACCACCAATGAAGAAAAGATTATTCAAGTTTTTCACAAAGCACCAAAAGAGCAAGTATGTCATTCTGCTACCACTTAACATGACAGCATTCTCATCCTTGAAAAGGCACAGGCATATGCAAGAAAAGGGGAATAAACTGGCTGCAAGGTAGTTGAATCTGAATGACAAGGACAAAAAGCAAAAGAGATCATCCAGCCCAAGGAAGGAGGAGGGATTAGTCATGTTAATAATGAAGGAGACACATTTTCGTAAAACAGTTCAGATACCTCAACTTGCATGCAGAAGATAAGCTTACCTGCTCAACCAATACATCACAATAGCATATCTAACTGAACAATTGCTTTGTGTATCGTGCCCATCGTGTCATCCACCAATGACTCACAACTTTAGCTCCATCGTGTCCACCACCAATGCCTGTTTTACAAACATAAGAATTCAAACAACCAATGACTTTCCAAAGAAAAAACCAAATAGATACAAGGAGGCATCAACTACATATTAACATAAACTCGTAGCTGTAATATGAAACGATGAAATGAACCCCATTTATTGGGAAAAAAATCACGGTATAAATGAGCTTTTCACTTGCAGCAGGACTCTACTGCAAGTGATAATGGACAATTATTTGTAAATTGCATACCAAGTCCCAGTTATGGATTTCAGATTATTAGCAAGATCAGCAGAGATAACAATATTGAAATACAGTACAGAAATTTAACTAGTTGTTAAGCTTCCAAATGTACCAATTGAGCTACTATTTGACATTGCAGTTGGTTCAAGCTAACTTTAAATTTTTAATATAGTTGTCTTCAACTTCAAAATGCTATGTATCCCATCTTGAAACAAAAACTGCACTGCAGCTATGTGCTAACACTACCATGATACAGCTCTTGCATATTTCAGTAGGCAAGCAAGAGTGAAACTTTGTTCAGTTATATTATAGAAAGAATAAGCCAATCTCGGTGTCCATTGAAACGAAAACATGATATGAGTATGACAACTACTTAAAATCGTTAATTTCACACGGAAGAATGTGAACAACATGTAATCAAAAATTAACTCTGTTTTGCCATATCCAGAGTGTAAATGAATGCTACCTGGAGTATAGGCAATTTCAAATGGATGGTACCAAGAATCGAGACTAGTCTTAGAGAGCTTCTTGAACCGCCATGACTCGAGATGGACCATGAAGACACCAACAACTGTCCAGAAGAACACCACATTGTTTTCCTCGGCATACCCTATCACCTGTGGGGGATCTTTCTTTGGATTTAGTCGAAGTAACTTGTCCAGCTCAATACTTCTCCCTGGCTCCCATATCATAACACCGTCGCGATTGGGATTCAGACTCCATAATTCGGCGGTAAAGCCGAATAAGAAGAGGAAACCCATCCCACCACCCTCTGCTCGCATAACCGCGAATTTGACAGGACTGAGCGGGGTGTAATAATCCCCTGGCAGCAGCCTCAGATCTAGGCTCTTCCTGTTCAAATCAAACTTGAGGATACTTCTCGAACCCGCCATGGTAAGCGACCAGTGAAGGCAATCCCCTGCCAGCACAGCGGGCTGGGACCTGAAAATGAACAAACCCTCGGATGGAAGCGGCGCCGAGATGAAATCGCCCCATGCGCCGGTCTCCGACGAGTAAACGCAGGCGAGCACTGCTCTAGGCTGCTTCCCGTTGCTGCCTACCATGACCACCCGGAAGTGGTCGGCGTCTCCGGCGGCGCGAAGCACCGCCCCGCTGATATCACCCTTGCCCCCCTGGAACTCGAAATCCGGGGGAACGGCCAGGAGGCGCTGGTGGCCGGCGACGGGATCCCACACCAGGACCTCGAACCGGATCTTGTGGAAGAAGAGCCCGAGGCCGTGGCGCCATCCTAGGGCCATGTAGCAGCCGTCGAGCTCCAAGGAGAAGAGTCCGCGGGGGAGGCGGTAGGGGGCGCCCGGAGCAGGCTCGAAGGTGATGCTGTAGCCATCGTCGCCGTCGTCGTTGTCGTCGTCGCCGCTGTCGTCGTCGTCGCCGTCGTCGTCGCTGTCGCTGTCGCCGCCGTGGTCGATGAAGAAACCGAGGAAGGGAGGGCCGCGGCGGTGGCGGATGCGGGAGCAGCGTCGGAATTGGGGGTCGGAGAGGAAGAGGAGGCGGCGCAAGCAACTGCATGCCACGGAGTCGCGCGGGAGGACGGGGGGGCTGCATACGAGGGGATCTTTGCCTTTCTGCTCTGGCGCCGGCGGCGATCTGGGGAGGAGGCGGCGGAGGAGGCTGGCCGCCGTCATCTCGCCCTCCGGCCGGCTGTGCTCAGTTGGTGCGGGCTGTGAGTGTGACCAAAGCGCGTGTGCTCCGACGATAACCGTGTGAATGGGGATTTAGCCAAGTGATTCTTGACAAGTCTGGGCGCAAGTGCATAGGCTAATAGACAATTGTTGCATGATCAGATAATTACATGCTGTGTAGATCCATGGGAGAAATTTTGGAGGTCCAACTAAAATTACCAACTGTGTTTACAAATTCTCGAGGTCCAAATCAAATTCTTGCGAGCTAAAATGAATGTTAACGAGAAGATTATAAGGTTTGTACCCATTACAAAAGGGGAAGAGAAGGAGTGGTACCAAGTGAAGTATGAAAAACTTCCTATTTTTGGTGGCAACTGAAGGTGTACAAGATTCTGATGGAAATTTAGGTGGATTCACGGAAAGAGGTAGAGGTGCAGGAATTGAAGATACATGCCGCGGGCAAGGGCTTATGGGTGTTGACGTAATTCCTACTAGTAGCTGGCGGTTTAATGGGCTGTTGCGGAATAATAATAATGATGCTTTGAACAATGCACATAATCTAGATACTAGAAATGATGGTAATGGGAGACAAGATGTTGGAATGCACAATGAAATATTTTGGGAAAGAGAGCTGCTGAGAATTCTAGTTGAAACGAGAATGGTAACCCAGCAATACAAGTCACCCTTCCGACTACTCAAGGCACCACTGTTCATGTTGATAAAAACACTATTGTGGCAGCTATGGTGGATCAGTTTGAGGAGGGACAGAAGAAGGGGACATACCTCAGAGGAACCCCTCTAGAAAAGCACAAACAAACAAAAATTTAAGGGAACTGTTGAAGTGATAGTAGATAGTACCAGTGCAAGTTCAATCTATGAATCGGAAGGCTCCCTCAAGGGGTACGGCCGAGAGCAATGAAAACCATGAGATAGAATTGTCATGGTACTCCACCATGGCAATTTGAGAGCTTCTAGACCTCAAGGGGCGAGTGAGTGCAGATGTGACTTTCCTCTCGATATCTCGCTTGAATAAGGATAAATCTAATTTCTTAGGAAAAAAGTTAGGTTTTGATGATTTGTACATCCAAGAAAGTGACGGTAGGGCGGGGTGCTTGTTGTGTTTTTCAACCATATTAATAAAGTGGAGTTAAACTATCTGTCATCCAATTTCATTGATGTTGTTTTCATGATTGGTGTTGAGGTTGATTGGAGGTTGATAGGGTTCTATGGGTACTCTTCTTGGGATCAATGACATTTGTCTTGGAATTGTTTGCGTGACCTTCATAATAAAGCATCATATCCATGGGGTGGACGTCATCTCGTCTCGCCCTCCCCACTCCTGACTGATGTGCAGATGGGGATGTGAAGTCGAGTGCGCCCGTCACTCGACTAATAAACCAAGCTGGCTAAACCAGCCGGTTTTCTTCTTCAAGGCAAAGCCCACCGTATTCTTCTTTTCTTTCTTCTCACAGTGCCAATTTTTCTTCATATTGCAAGTCCCATTCAAGGTGATAATAAGATCGAACGGAAAAAAGTATTCAATCAAGTGTATTGCCAAGCAATGAAATGTTCCATGACATAGGAATTTTGAAGTATCTTGTTGGCTTCCACTTCCAAGAAATTGAAGGAAATATGCCCTATAGGCAATAATAAAGTTATTATTTATTTCCTTATTTTCATGATAAATGTTTATTATTCATGCTAGAATTGTATTAACCGGAAACATGATACATGTGTGAATACATAGACAAACAGAGTGTCACTAGTATGCCTCTACTTGACTAGCTCGTTGACCAAAGATGGTTATGTTTCCTAGCCATAGACAAAGAGTTGTCATTTGATTAACGGGATCACATCATTAGGAGAATGATGTGATTGACTTGACCCATTCCGTTAGCTTAGCACTTGATCGTTTAGTATGTTGCTATTGCTTTCTTCATGACTTATACATGTTCCTATGACTATGAGATTATGCAACTCCCGTTTACCAGAGGAACACTTTGTGTGCTACCAAACGACACAACGTAACTGGGTGATTATAAAGGTGCTCTACAGGTGTCTCCGAAGGTACTTGTTGGGGTTGGCGTATTTCGAGATTAGGATTTGTCACTCCGATTGCGGGAGAGGTATCTTTGGGCCCACTCGGTAATGCACATCACTATAAGCCTTGCAAGCATTGCAACTAATGAGTTAGTTGCGGGATGATGTATTATGGAACGAGTAAAGAGACTTGCCGGTAACGAGATTGAACTAGGTATTGAGATACCGACGATCGAATCTCGGGCAAGTAACATACGGATGACAAAGGAAACAACGTATGTTGTTATGCGGTTTGACCGATAAAGATCTTCGTAGAATATGTGGGAGCCAATATGAGCATCCAGGTTCCGCTATTGGTTATTGACCGGAGACGTGTCTCGATCATGTCTACATTGTTCTCGAACCCGTAGGGTCCGCACGCTTAAGGTTTCGATGACAGTTATATTATGATTTTATGAGTTTTGATGTACCAAAGGAGTTCGGAGTCTTGGATGAGATCGGGGACATGACGAGGAGTCTCGAAATGGTCGAGACGTAAAGATCGATATATTGGACGACTATATTCGGACATCGAAAAGGTTTCGAGTGATTCGGGTATTTTTTGGAGTACCGGAGAGTTACGGGAATTCGCCGGGGAGTATATGGGCCTTATTGGGCCATACGGGAATAGAGGAGAGAGGCCAAAAGGAAGGAGGCGCCCCCCCCCCTCTGGTCCGAATTGGACAAGGGGTGCGGGCCCCTTTTCCTTGTTCCTCTCCCCCTCTTTCCTTCTTTCCTACTCCAACAAGGGAAGGAGGAGTCCTACTCCTGGTGGGAGTAGGACTCCCCCCTTGGCGCGCCCTCCTCCTAGGCCGGCCGCCTTCCCCCTTGCTCCTTTATATACGGGGGCAGGGGGGCACCCCGAAGACACAACAATTGATTCTTGAGATCTCTTAGCCGTGTGCGGTGTCCCCCTCCACCATAATCCTCGATAATATTGTAGCGGTGCTTCGGCGAAGCCCGGCGACGATAGAACATCAAGACTGTCACCACGCCGTCGTGCTGACGGAACTCTTCCCTGACACTTTGCTGGATCGGAGTCCGGGGATCGTCATCAAGCTGAACGTGTGCTAGAACTCGGAGGTGCCGTAGTTTCAGTGCTTGATCGGTCGGGCCGTGAAGACGTACGACTACATCAACCGCATTGTTATAACGCTTCCGCTGTCGGTCTACGAGGGTACGTGGACAACACTCTTCCCTCTTGTTGCTATGCATCACCATGATCTTGCGTGTGCGTAGGTAAATTTTTGAAATTACTACGTTCCCCAACAGTGGCATCCGAGCCAGGTTTTATATGTTGATGTTATATGCATGAGTAGAACACAAGTGAGTTGTGGACGATATAAGTCGTACTGCTTACCAGCATGTCATACTTTGGTTCGGCGGTATTGTTGGATGAAGCGGCTCGGACCGACATTACGCGTACGCTTACGCGAGACTGGTTCTACCGACGTGCTTTGCACACAGGTGGCTGGCGGGTGTCAGTTTCTCCAATTTTAGTTGAACCGAGTGTGGCTACGCCCGGTCCTTGCGAAGGTTAAAACGGCACCAACTTGACAAACTATCGTTGTGGTTTTTGATGCGTAGGTAAGAACAGTTCTTGCTAAGCCCGTAGCAGCCACGTAAAACTTGCAACAACAAAGTAGAGGACGTCTAACTTGTTTTTGCAGAGTATGTTGTGATGTGATATGGTCAAGACGTGATGAGATATAAGTTGTTGTCTGAGATGATTATGTTTTGTTGAAGTTATCAGCAATTGGCAAAAGCCCTATGGTTGTCTCTCTATTGCATAAGATGCAAGCGCCAAATAATTGCTTTACTTTATCGCTATGCGATAGCAATAGTTGTAAGAGCAATAGTTGGCAAGACGACCATGTGACCACACATTGATATAGATCAAGATGATGGAGATCATGGTGTCATGCCGGTGGTGATGGAAATCATGACGATGCTTTGGAGATGGAGATCAAAGGCATAAGATGATGATGGCCAATATCATGTCACATATTTTGATTGCATGTGATGTTTATCTTTTATACATCTTATATTGCTTAGTTCGGCGGTAGCTTTATAAGATGATCTCTCACTAGATTATCAAGGTATAAGTGTTCTCCCTGAGTATGCACCGTTGCGAAAGTTCTTCGTGCTAAGACACCACGTGATGATCGGGTGTGATAAGCTCTACATTCAAATACAACGAGTGCAAAACAGTTGCACACGCGAAATACTCAGGTTAAACTTGACGAGCCTAGCATATAACAGATATGGCCTCGGAACACGAAGACCGAAAGGTCGAGCGTGAATCATATAGTAGATATGATCAACATAGTGATGTTCACCATTGAAACTACTCCATCTCACGTGATGATCGGACATGGTTTAGTTGATATGGATCACGTGATCACTTAGAAGATTAGAGGGATGTCTATCTAAGTGGAAGTTCTTAAGTAATATGATTAATTGAACTTTAATTTATCATGAACTTAGTCCTGATAGTATTAGCATATCTATGTTGTAGATCAATAGCTCGCGTTGTTGCTCCCCGTTTATATTTTGATATGTTCTAGAGAAAAATAAGTTGAAAGATGTTAGTAGCAATGATGCGGATTGGATCCGTGATCTGAGATTTATCCTCATTGCTGCACAGAAGAATTATGTTCTTGATGCACCGCTAGGTGACAAACCTATTGCAGGAGCAGATGCAGACGTTATGAACGTTTGGCTAGCTCAATATGATGACTACTTGATAGTTTAGTGCACCATGCTTAACGGCTTAGAATCGGGACTTCAAAGATGTTTTGAACATCATGGACTATATGAGATATTTCAAGAGTTGAAGTTAATATTTCAAGCAAATACCCGAGTTGAGAGATATGAAGTCTCCAACAAGTTCTATAGCTAAAAGATGGAGGAGAATAGCTCAA